GTGTCTTCTCTGGCCTTGGAACCCCAGCTCCCCTCTTTCTGACTGGGCAGGGCTGAGAGAAGTTAGTGCTGCCAGGCCAGCCTTGGTGATTTAGGCCTGGTCAGGGGCCCTCAAGTCGGGCAAAGGTCCCTCTAGACAGACAGGGCAGGGCCCAGTGTGCCAGCATCTCTGTGAGCTCCTATGCTAACTACTGGCTGCAAGGAAACATGGTGTCCACCCAGGTCTGCTGGGCCAGCCGCTTTCTGGTCACGGCAGCAGGAAACTGCGCTGAGGTTGCCAGCACTGCTCTAGCTTCCAGGGAGAAATCCTTGAACGGTGGCCATGGGAGGTGCCTCTGCCGCTCAGTGACTGAGACCATCACTGAACAATGCAACCCTCTTCTGTAAGGCTGAGAGAGTAACAGGGCCACTCGGAGAAGCAGATGAGATAAAGGCAGGTTGTCATGGCTTGATCTCCACTTTATTAACTGAGGCAGAGTCTCCCACATGGCCTAGACACTTCTCTACTCAAAGTTCCCAGTTCACCTTATTTTATATGATACAGCATCCAGCTTGTTCAGATTAGGGCCCACGAGATGCGTGCATGATGAAGGACCATGGTCCCCTATGGAGCCCAGAACCTGACAGGCCCGTGGTTTCCTTGGAATAGAATGGGCCAGGGAAGAGTGGGCAGGCCTCAGACATTGTGGTTAACCCCAGCAGGTCTGCCCCAGCTGCCTCTGCAAGGTGCAGGTGTGCAGGTGTCTTGCTTTGTTTTGGTTTTTGGAGACTGGGTTTCTCAGTAGCTTTGGAGCCTGTCCAGGAATCAGCTCTTGTACACAGGCTGGCCTTGAACTCACAGAGGTCTGCCTGCCTTTGCCTCCCGAGTGCACCACCACAGTCCGACTTAAGAGGTGGTGTTTCAAGTAATTTCCAAGATGTGACACCTGTTGGGCCTCGGGGTCTGCGGCCACACTTGACCTAGTGTTCCTCAACAGGCCCGGGGGATGCTACAGAACCGCGTGGTGCTATGGAAGGAACAGTCGGAGGCCAGCCGCAGCCCATCACGTGCCCACTCCCCGGGGCTACTGGGCCCGGCACTGGGGCCGCCCTACCCCTCGGGCCGCCTGACGCCCACCCGGCTGGACATGGTGAGGCCCTGGCCGCCCCCACCGCCCTTCGCGCCCCCGCCGCCCTTCGCTGGGTCCTGGGTACCACCGCCCTGCATCTGGAGCCCGCCGCCCCCCGCATCCCCGCTCTACGCTGCGCTCCTCGCTCCCTGGCGCCAGGGGGTCGCCTCTGCGCCCCCGTGGTGGCCCTACCGTGTTCCCAATCCATATGCCGACCCCTGGGACTGGGGTTGGGGTCGGGGCTAGCGAGGCTCCGCCCCTCCCGCCCCACCCCCTACCCTCTCCCCTCGCAGCCCCCGAGGCCCCTGGGAGAGTATGGTTCCCCCCGCAGCCGGCATGGCTCCGGCTCCTACGGCCCCGAGCCCGCCGAGGCGAGGTCCGCGTCCCAGTTGGAGCCAGACCGCCGATCACTGCCCCGGACACCGTCGGCCTGTGGGTACCCCAAGCACAGAGGTGCAGGGGGCGGACCAGGAAGGGGATGGAGGCTGGACTGCAGCAGAAGGGTTGGAGGATAGAATGTTGGGAGAACTTTCACTTATTCCTTGGGGGGGGGG